CTGCATCTACTTCCTGTGGTTAGTATGATGTCACTTCCTCAAAGTGACGATGTTTGTCTCTGAATTTCTTATTTATGTTCAAACTTCCAAAAACAAAATTTTCACTGTTACATTTTGTAAATGTAGTTTTCTCTCAGAGGAAATAAATATGTTTCTTCATTCACTGAGCCAATCTAACGCTGTAACAAACAAACTATACTAAGACTCATACTGAGTCTCAAGTTCACACTGTGTCCAGTCCCACTGTGTATTTGTGACAATGACGTGTTTCACCTCCTGAGAAGAAGAAGAAGAAGAAGAAGAAGAAGAAGAAGAAGAAGAAGAAGAAAAAGAAGAAGAAGAGGAAGTTTAATGTGTGAAGATTGTTAGTTAAGATAAATGTTTGCAATGATGCATCTTGTTTTATTTAGATAGTGTTTATTAGCAAACAGACAGGAGTCATGGTGATGTTTAACAGCACACATGAACAGACAGGTGAAGAATCAAACTCCTCGTCCACCAGAGTTTGACTCTTGATGTCCATGGTGCAATATGGTGATACTGTAGCAGCTGCAAGGACACAGATAAGATGATGTTTAAGTGGTCTGACACCTGTTGGTTCCTCATTCTGTCTTTTTAGTTATTTCTGAGAACTGAAGGAGGAGGGGAAGTTATTTGATGAGAATACAACAGCAGCAGAGCTCTGGTGGTTCAACCCTCTAATGATGGACGGTTTGCTGGAAGGTTTAGGGTCACTGACACAATTTAATTCCAAATCCAATCAGTCCAGATATTATGGGCAGTTGTTCAGTACTGGCTGTTGGGCCTGCTTGTTGTATAAAGAATATTCACTTCCCATTATGACACTGTTACTGCATGAAATCACAAAAAAAGAATTTGATGGTAGAATTAAACATTTCTTTATTTACAGGTTATATTGTTATCAGATGTAATGAAGAGAAAACATTTAATGACTCCATTAGGTTGAATATGCTTCAAGCAAAACTCATACACAGTCCAACAAATATGATAATAATGCTGAATGGCGGTGAATTAAAATGAGTTCTTCTGTACACAGAGACATGGAACTGAACTCAAGCTGCTGTGTTCTGAACTGGATGCAGAAAATAAAGATTTTAACAACTGATGAAGGAAAAAACATTTTATAAAACTCACCGTAGGTTTCCTGATATGAGATGAAATCAAGACCTGGATATTGTTGTCCTACGTCAGACTAAAATAGTAATAGCTTAGCACACAAAACACACATTACTCACATTGGTTAATAAAAAGAAAAACAATCAGTCGTCCAAAACTCAGAAAAGATCTTATAAGATTTTTGTTATCTGAAAGCTTTAACTACTCATGTAAATGTGATGTTATTTAACAGCGATGATGAGTTGACGTTGATATGGACGTTGTTGATCAGTGGAGTCTGACGGAGGCAGAAGTTTCTCCAAAGATTTCATATTTCACCACACCATCGTCTTCATCTTCATCATTATTCACCTGTGAAACACAACACAAACAAACCCTTTAACTGACAACTTTCACATCACTGACCCACTGGTAACACAAGGAAATAAGAAATAATCTGACAACACCTGAACACACCATCAGTTACTGTCTGATCTGATCTTTACCTGACTGGCTGCTGGACCTGAACGCCTCACTGCTCGGCTTCCTTCTGAGTTTAAAACCTGCACAAACACAAACAGTGAGACATTCACAGTCCTGCATTACAGTAACATGAACAGTTCCCAGCAGCAGCTTATCATCATTTACACTGACTTACAGTCTCTGATCATTCATATACATTTTTATTGTTACACATGGGTTCACTTCAGTTTTTATCCTCAACTCACAGTGCTGTCATCAGGTGGTCTCTGGCTCCCTGGAAAATAAAGCACAGAGTAACATTTCAGCTCTAAACTTACAGTTTGTGTTAATCAGTGTAAACAAATGTTGGTCTGAATGTTCTCACCTCGAGCTCTGATGAGAAGAACAGTAATCACAGTAATTAGGAGGAGTTCAGCCACACGCATAACCAACATTATGTAGTTCAGAACAGACCAATCTGTACGAGCTGTGCAACAGAAACATAATGTCAGTGAATACAGTTATTGTCAACTAATCAGAAGGACAATGTTATTAGTATTATACATAACATCAGCATGTTAGCATTAAGCTCAAAGGTCACTGTTCCTAGATACAGCCTCATAGAGCTGCTAGCATGGCTGCAGACTGTTGGTCTAATTAATGTACATTTACAATTCTGAACTTTTTTTTAGAGGAGGTTTATACAATGTTCTCCACTCAGGCGCGTTTTGTGGATAGTTTTAACACAATTTGTGTACAGAGTTTTTGTGGGGTCTGGCTCAGCCTCTCCCCTGCCGTGTTTGAGGAGAAGGGCTCTCTCCTTCTCCGTCAGCCTCCTCCTCCAGAGCTCCAGGCTCCTCTGTGTCAGACGGACAGAGCGCACCCCCAGCACAGAGCCCAGAGCTTGGTTATCTGTGAGTGCTGGTCCTGCTGCATCTACCAGTTGTTTAAGGCAGACAGCTCTTGAGCTGCACAGCACTCCCATCAGCCCAGGCATGGTGCTGCAGCACACATCCATCTTGGCACCATAGATTATAGGCTCCTTCAATAACCAGTACAGAGAGTTACTCTTCTCACTTCTTTTGAATTTAAACAGAACCCAGGATTTAAAAACACCCTGATAAAAAGGAGGCAAGCCACCTAACTTTAAGAATTTAAAATCAGTTAAAAACAGAGCAGCATCCAGCCCCAGGTTATTGACACGCCTGAGTATGCAGCTCTCCACGTCTCTCCACACCAGATCTTCAGGTCCAGTCAGATACTTTTGA